TGTAGCTCAAGTGGTAGAGTGCTCGCCTTGAGCTGAAGAGCTGAGGGACAGCGCCCAGGCCCAGAGTTCAAGCCCCACGACCGACAAAAAAAAAAAAGAATATATGTGCTTTAGTATTGATATTACAATTGTTTTTTTTTCTTTTCTTATTTTGTTTTGCTAGTCCAACAGTTGACCCCGGGCTTTCAGCTTGCACAGTCTGGCCCAAACACATCTCTTCCTTCAGTTCCAGCTGTAGCTCCTCAGGTTTATTGTTCTGCTTGTAAAAGAATGCTTTATAAGGGCCAAACTGCCTATCACAAGACAGGATCTACTCAGTTCTTCTGTTCTACACGATGTATTACTGAATATTCTTCATCTGTCTGCCTACCACCTCCTCCCAAGAAAACCTGCACAAACTGCTCTAAGTATGAAATTCCTAATAGTATCCATGTCACTTTAGTTTTTAAAGTTTATATATAGTTTAGTTCAAACATGCTGAACAAATTTTGCAGCTAAATTTTGCAGTTAAAGAAACAAATGACTCATTATTAGAAGTCTTGTGTAAACCAGTGTTCTGTTTCTTAGTTTAAATTTTACTACGGAAAGAAATAAATTATTTGTGGGCTTGTAGGACCACTCATGTATCCTGAAATTGTGGACAAAAGTATTTAAGATATTTAATAATTCTTTTAGGTGTATGTGTATGTGGGTTTTTTTGTTTTGTTTTTTGATCTGTTGTGGGGCTTGAACACAGGGCCTAGGTACTGTCCCTGAGCTCTTATGCTCAAGGCTAACACTCTTATTTCCTTGAGCCACTGCACCACTTCTGATTTTCTGGTAGTTAATTGAAGATAAGAGCGTGAGGGACTCTCTTGCCTGGGCTGTCTTTGAACCGCCATCCTCAAATCTCAGCCTCCTGAGTAGCTAATATTATAGGCATGAGCCACTGCCACTGGCCTTAACAATGCTTTTTTAGTTATTAAAGTGTGGGATAAGCCGTGTCGGTGGCTCACACCTGTAATCCTAGCTACTCAGGAGCCTGAGATCTGAGGATCATGGTTCAAAGCCAACCAAAGCAGGAAAGGCTGTGAGACTCTTACCTCCAGTTAACCACCAGAAAACTGGAAGTGGTGTTGTAGCTCAAGTGGTAGAGTGCTGGCCTTGAGCTGAAGAGCTCAGGGACAGTGCTCTGGTGGTGCTCAAGACCCACAACCGACAAAACAACAACAACAACAAAAAAAACAGTGGGGGATAAAATAATATCATTCTCTCGCTTTCTTTCTCTCTCTCTCTCTCTATATATATATATAGTTGTGTGTGTGTGTGTGTGTGTGTGTGTGTGTGTGTGTGTGTGAATCCTTGGGGCTTGACCTCAGGTCCTGGGAACTGTCCTGGAGCTTTTCATTCAGCTCAAAGCTGACAAGCAGTAGAGCACTCGCCTTGAGCTGAAGAGCTCGGCGACAGTGCCCAAGCCCAGAGTTCAAGCCCCACGACCGACAAAAAAAAAACCAAAAAAAAAACCCCCCCAAAAAATCTGAAAGCTCTACCTCTTGAGCTGAGATACACTTCCACTTCTGGCTTTTTTGGTGGTTAATTGGATACAGTCTCAGGGACTTTACTACCTAGGCTAGCTTCAAAACATAATCTTCAGATCTCAGCCTTCTGAGTATCTAGGATTACAGACATGAGCCACCAACACCGGCTAATAGCACTCTTAATAGTATGTATAAATTGTTACAAAAATAATTGTGTACATCTAATATCCTTGTAAGCTTTTCTGGGATTATTGTTGCTTTACAATAATGTTTAGCTTCAGACAGAGGAAGAAATAGCAAAGTCACGTAAACATTTCTCTTACTTTACTGCATTTGATAAACTTGGTGTGTTTTGTCTGTTTTCCTGATAGTACTTCCAGGAATGTAGTGTGAGACTTCCATCTCCAATGGTGTCTCATCCACTAGAGCTAGTGGGATTAAATTCAGCCACTCTACAACTCCAGACCACAAGACACATATCCTCCTATCCTCTTACAGCCAGAAGCTGCCACAGAAACATGAATGAGACAGCAAATGAAATTTTTAAAAATGTATGCTATTAGTTATTTATGTAGAGTAATAACAGTTAAAAGCTTATTTTTAAAGCTAGGAATGTAGCTTAGTAAGAAGTGGTTGCCTGGCAAGTACAAGATCCTGGATCCCATCCCAGCACTAAAAACATTTTTTATCTTGGTTGGGTGATGGTAGCTCACGTCTGTAATCCTAGCTATTCAGGAGGCTGAGATCTGAGGATCACGGTTCAAAGCCAGCCCAGGCAGGAAAGTCTGTGAGACTCTTATCTCCAATAAACCACTAGTAAACCAGAAGTGGTGCTGTGTCTCTAGTGGTAGAGTGCTCATCTTGGACTGAAGAGCTCAGGGACAGTGCCCAGGGCCAGAGTTCAAGCCCCATGATCCACCAAAAGAAAAAAAAAGCCAGGTACTGGTGATCACACCTGTAATCCTACTTAAGAGGCTGAGATCTGAGGATCCTGGCTCCAAGCCAGCCAGGGAGGGAAAGTTCATGAGACTTTTTTTTTTGGGTCCGGTAGTGGGGCCTGAACTCCGGGCCTGGGCGCTGTCACTCAGCTCTTCAGCTCAAGGCTAGCACTCTACCACTTGAGCCACAGCGCCACTTCTGGCTTTTTTCTTTTTGCTTATGTGGTGCTGAGGAATCGAACCCAGGGTCTCAGGCATGCAAGGCAAGTGCTCTACCACTGAGCCACCTTCCCAGCCCCTCATGAGACTTTTGTCTTCAATAAACTATTCAGGAGACCAGAAGTGGCACTGTGGCTCAAGTGGTAGAGTGCTAGCTTTGAGCTAAAGAACTGAAGGACAGTGCTCAGGCCCAGAGTTCAAGCCATACAACCTATCAAAGAAAAAAAAAATCATCCTGGTTACTACTGAATGACCCTGAGTGAAAGATTTTAATCCTGCTACCTGGTAGGCTAAGATCTGAGGATTGTGGTTCACCCCAAGCAGAGAAGTTCATGAGACTTATCTCCAGTTAACCAGCAAAACGCTGGAAGTGAAGCTATGGCTCAAATGGTAGAGTGTCAGCCTTGAGCTAAAAAGCCTGGAGAGAACAGTTGTGGAATGCCCATTAAACCTAGTCTCAGATTCCTCTGGCTCAGATGAAACTTGCTTGGAGTTGGAAATTTCAGTAGGTTTTTTTTTTTTTTTTTTTAGTTTTTATTGTTAATTATTAAGGCAATGTCAGGTAATGAGTACATTTCTTTTTGGGTAGTATCACTCCTTCCTTCACTCTCTTTCAGTCATTACTTTTGTTGTAATTCTCCCTCTATATATCTAGGAATTAGGTATCTAATTCCGTTTTTGCCTTCTTTCTATTTTTTTTTTTTTGGTCGGTTGTGGGGCTTGAACTCTGGGCTTGGGTGCTGTCCCTGTGCTCTTCAGCTCAAGGCTAGTGCTTACTGCTTGAGCCTCAGCACCACTTCTGGTTTACTAGCAGTTTATTGGAGATCAGAGTCTCACGAACTTTCTTGCCTGGGCTGGCTTTGAACTGCAATCCTCAGATCTCAGCCCAGATCTCAACCTCCTGAGTAGCTAGGATTACAGGCGTGAGCCACCAGCGCCCGGCTGCCTTTCTTTTTTTCTGGTACCAGGGTTTAAACTCAGGGCCTACATTTGTTCAGATGGTGTTTAACCACTGACTGGATCCAAACCTCCAACCAAGCTTTTAGGAGTCTCTTAGGCTTTTCTGTCCCACCTAACTTTTATCTGAGATCCTTCAGATCTCAGCCTCCTCAGTAGCTAGGGTTAGAACTGTAAGCCAGCTGCCTCAGCTATAAATCCCATTTTAGGAATGAGGAAGTTGAGATAGTATCTTACTCATTATCACTTATTGATCAGTAACAAGTAATCCTCAAATCCAAGTTTACAGATGCTTTATACAAAGCTTTTTCTGCACAAGGACTGCCTCTAGTCATTGTTATTTTTGCTCATAAAATAGGAATTTAGGACTGGCCCTGGTGACTCATGCCTATAATCCTAGCTACTCAGAAGGCTGAGATCTGAGGATCCTGGTTCAAAGCCAGCCGGGGCAGGAAAGTCTGAGACTTATCTCCAGTTAACCACCTGAAAACTGGAATGCACTGTGGTTCAAGTGTAGAGCGCTAGCTTTGAGCTAAAGCGCTCAAGGATAGTGCTCAGGCGCCAGAGTTCAAGCCCCATGACCAAAAAAAGGGGGGGAATTTACAATTTATATATATTTCATTTTGCTTTTGTTATTTCTTTTTAGAGCCATTTTAAATCCAAAGAATGTGATCACAACCCAGTTTGAAAATTCCTCTTCTAGCAAAGATTTCTGCAGCCAATCATGCTTGTCTTCTTATGAACTGAAGAAAAAACCTGTTGTAACTATATATACCAATGGGATTTCGACTAAGTGTAGTATGTGTCAGAAAAATGCTTATGTAAGTTAAATTTTACTTTCATTGAGATTGTGCTGAAAGATCAGTTTTGTGTTTTGGTGTTGTAGTTGCTGAGAAATAAACATGGGACCTCGTGTGTTGTAGGCAGGCACTGTACCACTGAATCACAGTCCCAGTCTATTTTTTTCTTTAATTATGGGATAGTGATATTTAGTTAAAATCACAAACACATTCTAATCTTCATGAGGCACATTGTCATAATCATGGTCTATGTAGTTTGTGAATTCTATGAGCTTTGACAATATAGCTATTTCTTCCACATCAGGTGATATGTACATTTCTTTCCATTTAGTGTAAGCTGTTTCTTCTTTCCCTCTCATTCTCTCCCTCCCATTGCTGCCCTTGAGTTGCTTAGTTCGTTTTCACCAATGTCCAGTGCAGCTGATGGGCCCTTTTGTTGGATATTTTCCTGTTTACCTTTGCTTCTGTGCCCTCCTCCTAGTCCCAGTCTCTCTCTCTCTCTTTCTCTCTCTCTCTCTCCCCCCTCCCTCCTTTCCTTCCCCCACCTCTATCCATATTTTGTTGTTGTTGTTGTTGGTCGTGGGGCTTGAACTCTGGGCCTGGGTACTATCCCTCAGCTCTTCAGCTCAAGGCTAGCACTACCACTTGAGCCACAGCACCACTTTCAGTTTTCTGGTGGTTTATTGGAGGTAAGAGTTTCATGGATTTTCCTGCCCAGGCTGGCTTTGAACTACTATCCTCAGATCACAGCCTCCTGAGTAGCTAGGATTACAGGCGTCAGCCACCAGTGCTTGGCATCCCAGTCTCTTTTAAAAACAGGTTTTGTTTCACTTTGTGTATGTCTGTTTTTATTTCCTAGATTCGATTTGAAGTTAAATACCAAAATGTGGTACATGGTCTTTGTAGTGATGCCTGTTTTTCAAAATTTCACACTACCAACAACCTCACCATGAACTGTTGTGAAAACTGTGGGAGCTATTGCTATAGTAGCTCTTACCAATCACAGAAGGTTTTTAGTTCAACAAGCATCACAGCATACAAGCAGGTATGAATACCAACCTGTTGGAAATAGTTAGGCTCAGTCCTAAACTGGCTACAAGGTATGAAGTTTAAAACAAGAGTTCATGCTGATGTTTAACCTGATATGAAATTACTTTTTGAGAAAAATATATTCAGAATGATTGTGGAATGAAATGGCAACAGTGAAATGGGATACTTGTTTTCTGCAGGGGGTAAGGGGAGGTTGTGCTAGGGTTTTGCATTTTGTAGGCAAGCACTCCACTGCTTGAGTTATCTCTTCTAGCCCCTTTTGCTCTGGTTATACTTTGAGATAGGATGTATCCAGCCTTTGGTTTCAACCAGCCTTAGGTCTCCCAAACTTTTTATCTATTCTAGGGAACTGTGATCCTATCTTGACTTGGTAGATTGCTAGGATTAAAGCTAAGTGCCACCAATACCCAGCTGAAATGGACTAGTTTTTTTTTTTTTTGTCCAGTCATGGGGCTTAAACTCAGGACCTAGGCACTGTTCCTGAGCATTTTTGCTCAAGGCTAGTGCTGTACCACTTGAGATATACGGCTCTACTTTGGGCTTTTTGGTGGCTAATTGGAGATGAGTGTCTCATGGACTTTCCTGTCTTGGTAGCTTTGAATTGCGATCTTCATATCTCAGCTTCCTGAGTAGCTAGGATTAAATACATGAAACACTGGTGCCTAACTCCGTTATAATTTTTTTTTTTGGTTGGTCGTGGGGCTTGAACTCTGGGCCTAGGCACTGTCCCTGAGCTCTTCAGCTCAAGGTTAGTGCTCTACCACTTGAACCCACAGTGCCACTTCCGGCTTTTTCTGCTTATGTGGTGCTGAGGAATCGAACCCAGGGCCTCTTGCATGCAAGGCAAGCACTCTACCACTGAACCACCTTCCCAGCCCCGTTTTAATTTTTGAAAGCACTTCACTATGTTGTTGAAAGAATCTTCTGATGCAGTGTATCAACATGGCTTTGCATGAATTCTAGAAAGTCATGGAAAACATTCAATAACTAATACTATTAGTGATGTAATAGCAGCCACTATGATAATTTTGTCATATTACAGTTATATGCTGTTATATAAGAATTATATACAATTTTTTGGGGGGGGTTGGTTGTGGGGCCTGAACTCTGGGCCTGGGTGCTGTCCCTCAGCTCTTCAACTAAAGGCTAGCGCTCTACCACTTGAGCCACAGCACCACTTCTGGCTTTTTTCTTTTTGCTTATGTGGTGCTGAGGAATTGAACCAGGGCCTCTGGCATGCAAGGCAACTGCTCTAATACTGAGCCACCTTCCCAGCCCTTATATACAGTTCTTAAAGCATGAGTATAAAACTCAGCTTGAAAAGTATGCAGTCCTTTTGGATCTCCTGATACTCAGTAAGCTTTATTTTGGTTTCTTGCTGAAGGCTCTTTCAAATTAGATAGCTTTAAATGTGGTAGAGTTACTTAGTCCGAGATCCTGGTCTATAGAGAGGTAACCTTTTGGTTCAGGGATTACCTGATCTTTTCTGGTTATTTGTGATGAGAAGGCAGTTATTATTAACACAATTATTACTTGTAGTGTGTTTGGTTATTAAAATATCTCAGTATTTTCAGTTTTTATTTTATGTTTTATTATCTGAAAGAAATTATTTTTCCCATATCCCAATTCTCAGACAAGTTTATTTAGTGTGCTTTCATTATCATGCTCACAGATTTCAAACATAGGCAGAGGTTGTGGGTAGCTTTTCATCTCCTTTTTGAAACACTAATGTAATTATGTATTCTTGTACACATCTCAATGTAATTTTATTTTCTTAATAGAATTCAGTGCAGAAGCCTCCCTATGCCTTGGGGAAATCATTGAGGCCCTCTGCTGAAATGATTGAGACTACAAATGACTCAGGGAAAACTGAGCTTTTCTGCTCTGTTAACTGCTTATCTGCCTACAGAGTTAAGACTGTTACTTCTTCAGGTAATACTTACATTTGATAAATTTACAAATTTAAGACTGTTGAGGAAGACTAACTGTTTTTCTTTCATTGTGTTATAACCTGAATTTCTCCCTATATGGTTAAAGACCCATGAACTGACTTTTAAGTGTCAGTAGTTTTTCACTGGTTTTCAAATTGTGAAACACAGTTTATCATTTCATATGTGAGAAGAAAGAACAATTATAATTTAAGCTAGTTTTTTTTTTATTACTGGGAGTTAAGGTTAGTTGTATTAGATTCATAGAGTGTTGTAAATCTCCTAGATACTTTTCATAGATTACAGTTTTTTTTTCACATCAGTGGATTCATGTCCATACATTTCAACAAACTATGAATAAAATTATTTAGGAAAATAATATGCATATGTATAAGCATTGTCACAATAGAGAACAACAGTAGTTGTTCATGTAATATTTACATTTTATTATATATTATATGTACTGTAGAGATGATTTAAAGTATCTGATAGGACGTTTGGGAGGCTGCACATGATTACATATAAGCACTGTACCATTTTATGTAAGAAACTTGGTGTTCTTGGAGAGTCCTGAGGATATCAGTCCCCTGAGGATACCAACAGAAGCTGAGTGTTTTACTTTCTTTTTCCTAATACTAGATTACTGTTCATTTGTATAACAAACTCATTGTTTTTTATTTTCTGTCATAAGGTCTTAAGGTTTCCTGTCACAGTTGTAAGACCTCAGCAATCCCCCAGTATCACTTAGCCATGTCAAATGGAACCATATATAGCTTCTGTAGCTCCAGCTGTGTGATGGCTTTCCAGGTATGATCCAAGGTAGTTCATCCCAGCAGTGCTTCTTAGGTACTTATCTAAGCCAGTATGTTGATTATAGAGGTTCAGTCTTAAGTTTAAGTTAAAAAGGAAAAAACAAAACAAAACTGGGCTCTTGTAGGGTTCCAGATGTCATTTTCTTTTTCCTGGTCGGTTGTAGGACCTGAACTCTGGGCCCTGGGAACTGTTCCTGAGCTCTTGAGCTCAAAGCTGGTGTTCTACCACTTGAGCCACAGCACCACTTCCGGCTTTTTCTGCTTATGTGGTGCTGAGGAATAGAATCCAGGGCTTCATGGATGCAAGGCAAGCACGCTATCATTGAGCCACCTTCCCAGTCCCAAGGTGTCTTTTTTTTTTTTTTTTGGGTCCGGTCGTGGGGCCTGAACTCTGGGTCTGGGCGCTTTCCCTCAGCAGTTCAGCTCAAGGCCAGCGCTCTACCACTTGAGCCACAGCGCCACTTCCAGCTTTTTTCTTTTTGCTTATGTGGTGCTGAGGAATCGAACCCAGGGCCTCATGCATGCAAGGCAAGCACTGTACCACTGAGCCATCTTCCCAGCCCCTCGCCTTTGTTTTTACTGTGACTTTTTGTTGTTGGTGGTGGTAGTGGTGGTGGTGGTGGTCTGGGCCTGGGCGCTGTCCCACAGCTCTTCAGCTTAAGGCTAGTGTTCTACCACTTGAGCCTCAGTGCCACTTCCAGTTTTCTGGTGTTAATTGGAGATTAGAGTCTCATGGACATTCCTGCCTGGGCAGGGTTTGAACCGTGATCTTCAGGTCTCAGCCTCTTTAATAGCTAGGGTTAGAGGCATGAGCTACTAGGTGTTTCTGTGTCTTAATAGCCACCAAGAATTGGTTAGCAGTGATAATATGGGTGGAGGGTACCTTTGTGGAAAGGACAAGCCTGCTGTAATGTATTAAAGGCATGTCCTGGAGACATTTCAGTTTTTCAGTCCTATTGTAGAAGTATACATGTGAAGCACTTTTGGTGAGATATAAGATTTGAAAGAGAGCCATATAGTGGAATTAATTTGTTAAAAATGAGGAAATGAAAGTTACTAAGTTATTTTCTCAGTTGATGAAATCTTTGTTTTGTGTTCATTCAGAATGTATTTAACAAGCCAAAGGGAACAAACTCTTCAGTAGCAACCCTGTCTCAGGGCCAAGTGGTCGTGAGTGTGCCTTCAGGGTCAGCAGTATCCACAGCTGCCTCCACCAACACCTTCAGTAGTCCAGTCAGCGGCCCCGCTGCAGCTGCCCTCCAGACTCTTGCTGAACAATCCCAGCAGATTGCTTTAACCAATACATTTATGAAACTCATATGTCACTACTGTACCCATCAATTTGCCACAAAACCAGAGCTGCTTTTCTACAAGGTAAAGAGATTGTGAAAGGGGTTGAAGATAAACTCATCCACTAAAGCCCTTCTGGCTTTTCATCTTCCATGGTTGTGTTAGGTTTGCTTTTAAAAGACAAAGAAAGCTGGGTACTGATGACTCATGCCTATAATCTTAGCTACTCAGAAGATGTGAGGATTGTGGTTTGATGCCACCCTGGGCAGGAAAGTCCATGAGACTCTTATCTCCAAGTAACTACCAGAAAATCAGAAGTGGTGCTATTGCTCAAAGTAGTAGAGCACTAGCCTTAAGTGAAAAAGCTTAGGGACAGCACCCTGTTCCTGAGTTCAAGCCCCATGACTGATTAAGAGAAAAGGAAAAAAAAAGACAAGGTAAAGGATATCTTTAAAGAGAAAGCCACTGCTTAGTTTGATCTTAATGATTGCTATGTCTTTGCAGGGTAGAATGTTTCTGTTTTGTGGCACAACTTGCTCTGAGGAATACAAAAGAAGAAATAAAGTCATGGCAATGTGTGACTACTGTAAACTGCAGAAAATCATAAAGGAAACTGTGCGATTCTCAGGAGTTGACAAGCCATTCTGTAGTGAAGGTAATGAAGCCTCGTGTTCACACAGTGCTGTTATCTTGAAATAATTTATTATAAGTTGGGCAATTAATCCAAGTAATTTTTCACTTAAGGGGTGGGACTTGAGGTAGCATCTCAGTTTCTGGCTTAGGCTGGCCTTGACCTTACTGATATGCTGCCTCAGACTCCCAAATACTAGGATTACAGGCATGCACCATCATGCTCAACTGTAATTTCTTTTTAATGACGTATAGTGTGATCTTCAATGAATTTATATTTAGTTCACTCTAACATCTGGCCGTTTTTTTTTTTTTTTTGGTGGTCTCAGGGCCTTTGCTTAGTAGGCAGGTACTCCACTACTTGAGCCATGCCTCTACGTTTTTTAAAATTTTTTTTCCAGGTATTTTGTTGTTGTTTTTACTTTTTTACTAGTGCCAGACACTGACTGAACTGTGATCCTTTGTATCATCACCAATAAACCACTGTAATAATAAAGCAATAAATCACTGTACCTGGTTACATTCTGTATTTTAAATGTTTTGAATAATTTTAGCAAAGAAAAACTATTAAAGTAACTTAAGTCAGTAGTATTAGCATAGAAAAAAAATTTTTGTTTTGGTCTGTCGTGGGGCTTCAACTCTGGGCTTGGGTGCTGTCCCTCAGCTCTATAGCTCAAGGCGAGTGCTCTGGCTCTACCGCTTGAGCCACAGCACCACTTCTGGTTTTCTAGTGGTTTATTGTAGATAAGAGTCTTACGGACTTTTCCTGCCCGGGCTGGCTTTGAACCGTGATCCTCAGATCTTAGCCTCCTGAGTAGCTAGGATTACAGGTGTGAGCCATTGGTGCTGGCTAACATAGAAAAATTTTAAGTTAATCTATTTTATGAGAGATCAAGTATTGAGAGTATATTTAGAAGTTGTTCTGTGTTTGTTTAGAATATAAATAGACTATCCTATAACCTAAAAGCAAGTAAGTATATCAAATATTTAGAAATTAGCTTCAAGTTTGTATCTAAGTCTACAAAAAGTCATTCTACCTCCTTGAAGCTATGTAAATTTTATGTTTCTTTCTCTTATCTTTTTTGATACTCAGTTTGCAAGTTCCTGTCTGTTCGAGACTTTGGAGAACGATGGGGAAACTACTGCAAGATGTGTAGCTATTGTTCACAAGTATCACCAAATTTGGTAGAAAATCGATTGGAGGGCAAGTTAGAAGAGTTTTGTTGTGAGGAGTGCATGTCCAAATTCACAGTTCTATTTTATCAGGTAAATAATGTTTTTTGTTTTGGATTCTGAGGTTGGTGCAAATTAGATTCTATTTTAAATAAGGTAATGGGCTGGTATATAGTGCAGTGGCAAAGTGCTAGTTTAGCAAGTGCAAGGTTCTACATTTGACAAAAAAGAAATATGGGGCTAGTGCTGGTGGATCATGCCTGTAATCGTAGCTACTCACGAGGCTGAGATGTGAGGATCCAGTTCAAAGCCAGCCAGGGCAGGAAAGTCCTTGAGACTCTTATCTCCAATAAACCACTCAGAAAACCAGAAGTGGCACTATGGCTCAAGTAGTAGAGCTATAGCCTTGAGCTGAAGAGCTGAGGGACAGTGCCCAGGCCCGGAGTTCAAGCCCCACGAACAACAACAACAAAAAAAGTGGTTATATTGTGTGAGAAAATAATGCTTAGAGCTTGCTTAAGAAAATTATGAGCTTCCTACAAGAAAATTTGGTTTAATATTAACATGAAGTTTAGGATTTCTGGAGATTTTGTTGTTGAGGAATGTGCTTTTTTTGGATGAGAGGATGTTCTTGAATGAATTTGAGGTAGTGTTGCCTTTATGTGACTCTACCATTCAGAATTCTGTGAGGAGGGGCTGGGAAGTTGGCTCAGTGGTAGAGCACTTGCCTTGCATGCCTGAGGCCCTGGGTTCGATTCCTCAGCACCACATAAGCAAAAAGAAAAAAGCCGGAAGTGGCGCTGTGGCTCAAGTGGTAGAGCACTAGCCTTGAGCTGAAGAGCTGAGGGACAGTGCCCAGGCCCAGAGTTCAGACCCCACGACTGGACCCAAAAAAAAAAAAAAAAAGAATTCTGTGAGGAATTTGAAGTCAGGCCCTGTTCTCACTTCATAGATGCAAATGACAATAACTGACAACCTTACCTACTTTTTTTTTTTTTTTATGTTGGTTGTGGAGCTTGAACTCTGGGCTTGGGTGCTTTCCCTGCACTCTTCAGCTCAAGGCGAGTGCTCTACTGCTTGAGCCACAGTGCCACTTCTGGTTTTCTAGTGGTTTATTGAAATAAGAGTCTCACGGACTTTCCTGCCCTGGCTGGCTTTGAACTGTGATCTTCAGATCTCAGTCTCCTGAGTAGGTAGGTTTACAGGCGTGAGCCCCCGCGCCCGGCTTCAAAATGTACATTTTTGAAAGGCCAATGTGATAGCTACAATTAATTGAACCAATAATACATAGGTGGTGCCCCTAACCCCTAAGTGTGGTTTCATTTAATGCTTAGCACCGGGTCAACAGATGGGTGCATTATTGCTAGGTTTCAATTCAGGATGAGGAAGAAAGTCTATGCAGCTTAACTAACATGCCCTTGAGCATTCTGGTAGGTGATGAATGACTAGGCAGTACCTATGGCATACTAGAGAACACATGTTTACTTGCCTGCATCACCTACAAATGATTCTTGTTTTTTGTTTTTGTTTTGTCGGTTGTGGGGCTTGAACTCTGGGCTTGGGCGCTGTCCCTCAGCTCTTCAACTGAAGGCGCGCACTCTACTGCTTGAACCACAGCGCCACTTCTGGTTTTCTAGTGGTTTATTAGAGATAAGAGTCTCATGGACTTTCCTGCCCAGGCTGGGTTTGAACTGTGATCCTCAGATCTCAGCCTCCTAAGTAGGTAGGATTATAGGCGGGAGCCACCTATGCCCGGCTACCCACAAGTAATTCTTAGTGAGGAAAGTGATGTCTTCTGATCACCAGAACAGGACTAGGTCCAATCACATAGCTTAAGACCAATGAGGCTGATGAGATAATTGTTGAATGAACTGAAGTCCTTATAGTTCCAAGCTTATATTCTTTCTATTATAATATACAGCTTCTTTTTTACCCCCTCATTTTTTTTTGGGGGGGTAGGGGTGTTAGCATCTGGGTACCATCCCTGAGCATTTTTTGCTCAAGAGTAGTGCTCCGGGGGCTGGGAAGGTGGCTCAGTGGTAGAGTGCTTGTCTCGCATGCCCGAGGCCCTGGGTTCGATTCCTCAACACCACATAAACAGGAAAAGCCGCTAGTGGCTCAAGTGGTAGAATGCTATCCTTGAGCTGAAGAGCTGAGGGACAGCGCCCAGGCCAAAGTTCAAGCCCCACAACCAACAAAAAACCGAAAACAAAAACAATGAGTAATGCTCCATCATTTGAGCCACAGCTTCACTTCTGGTTGTTAATTAGAGATAAGAGACTCATAGATTTTCTTACCTGGGTTGCTTTGAACCACAATCCTCAGATCTTAGCTTCCAGGGGAACTAGGATTACAGGTAGGAGCCATTGGCACCGTGCAGATGTATTTTTCACTGCAGTATTTTAAGGTAAAAACTTTATTTTGTAGTCTGAACTGACTCATCTTTTTTCAAAATGTCTCTGATTTAGGGGCTGGTAGGTGGCTCAGTGGTAGAGTGCTTGCCTTGCATGCATTAGACCCCGGGTTCGATTCCTCAGCACCACATAAGCAAAAAGAAAAAAGCCAGAAGTGGTGCTGTGGCTCAAGTGGTAGAGTGCTAGCCTTGAGCTGAAGAGCTGAGGGACAGCGCCCAGGCCCAGAATTCAGGCCCCACGACCGGACCCCAAAAAAAAAACAAAACCAAAACAAAACAAAATGTCTCTGATTTATTATTGCTATATTTTCATAACTTTATAATACTTTTGTTTGTTGATTTTTAATATTTTTAAATCTTTTTTTTTTTTCCTGTCACTTGTGGGGCCTGAACTCTGGGCCTGGGAACTGTCCTTGAGCTCTTCAGCTCAAGGCTAGCACTCTACCACTTGAGCCACAGCGCCACTTCCGGCTTTTTCTGCTTATATGGTGCTGAGGAATCGAACCCAGGGCCTCATGCATGCAAGACAAGCATTCTACTACTGAGCCACCTTCCCAGCCCCTTTAAATCTTTTTTTTTTTTTTTTTTTTTGGGTCCGGTCGTGGGGCTTGAACTCTGGGCCTGGGCGCTGTCCCTCAGTTCTTCAGCTCAAGGCTAGCGCTCTACCACTTGAGCCACAGCGCTACTTCCGGCTGTTTTCTTATGTGGTGCTGAGGAATCAAACCCAGGGCCTCATGCATGCAAGGCAAGTGCTCTACCACTGAGCCACCTTCCCAGCCCCCCTTTAAATCTCTTTTATGTATAGTATTGGAGTTTAACTCAGGGTCTCCCCTTTGACTTGATTGGCCCATACTCAAGCCCCTATCACAAAGTTATTTATTTATTTTTCTTCATGGTATTAATGTTTAATTTACGGTTTTACTTAGGCTTGCTCAGCAGGGACTCCACTCCTTCTTTCACAATTCCCACAATTGAATTTCGTTTTTTTGTTTTTGTTTTTGGTTGGTCGTGGAGCCTGAACTCTGGGCATAAGTGCTGTCCCTTAACTCTTTAGCTCAAGTCTAGCATTCTACCACTTGAGCCACAGTGCCACTTCCAGCTTTTTCTGCGTATGTGATGCTGAGGAATCGAACCCAGGGCCTCATGTATGCAAGGCAAGCACTCTGCCACCGAGCCACCTTCCCAGTTCAATTTTTGGTTTTTTAAAGTCAGAATCTCATAATGCAGCTTGGCCTAGAACCTCCAATGTAGCCCATATTCTCCTTGAATGTGTGATCCTCTTGCCTTTACTTCCCATGTGTTAGAATTACAGGCATCACAACCATGCTCAGCTGTCCTAATTTTTTTTTTTTTTTTTGGGTCCGGGCATGGGGCCTGAACTTTGGGCCTGGGCGCTGTCCCTCAGCTCTTCA